AGTATGCAATTCATTAATTAATGAAGGAACCAGTAAGATATTATAACTGGTTCAAAGGAGAATTCAAAGTGATAGCTAGACAGAGAAGGAATACCGACATGAATTGACAAATAGATGTAAAACTGGCTTTTCCCATGAGGGTGGGGAGAGAAGTCAATTGTCCCTCCACTGGACAGAATTCAATTGCACATTTATGGACAAGAGTCATTTGCATTGTTCTCAGTATCTACCATTTACAGAGTTATAAGTAGCTCAAAGAAACTCAAAGGAGGAGATAATCCAGGGGGATGCGTGAGATAGAACACTCAGTAATCTTTTTTTGCCATTTCAAACTCTTGCACAAATTTTACTGAATGTTAATCAGGGTACTTAATTCTTTTTTTGTATTTGATTTTGTATTGTATTTGTATTTTGTATTTGTATTTTGTATTTGTTTTGTATTGATGTGTGCAATTCATTACCTATAAAATTCATGTCTGACAAAAAATAATTATCACTGTAAAAACATTTTTTTGCTAATCTGACTGTGTTTATATAAGTATATGTTACTGAGGAATATGACTGTTGGATATATCAGTGTTAGGGTGGCCAAATAAAATACAGGATTAATTTTTTTAGTGTAAGTATGTGTGAAATATCAACAGGAAAAGAGGAAAAATGGCTGTTGGGTAGACAACTACTACTTCTACGTCACTAAGCTAGGTTTTATTTTGCTTTTTCTAGCTGTAAAAAAGATGGTAGTATTGGGACATAAATTAAGCTGCAAAAATTTTTTTAAACTTTACTTTTATTACCTATTATAGGGGAAGAAAAAGTTTTCCTCAACCTTCTTAGGGTCCCTGGCTGGTCTGGAAATTAAACTGACAAAGACAGATTAACAAGAGAAAAGCATAAAAATTTATTTAATAAAATTTTTACGTGACACAGGAGTCTTCATAAGGAAATGATGACCCAAAGAAAGGGTTTATCTGGAGTATTTTTATGCTAAATTGGTGAAGAGTAGACAGTCCTAAAGAAATACAATAGGTCAAAGAGTCTGAGGTAAGTGTAGTAAACTGAGGCAAACTTAACTTAGCAGGGCATGTTCGTTTGGATTCTCTCTGTCCTTTTGTCTACAGAGAAGGATGCTCCTTTCCCAGTAGAGGGAGAGCACCTCTCACAGGAGGGTCTGATGACCCGTTTCGAGGAAGAAGTTGGGGGAAGGGTCTAAAGTGACCTTCCTGCTTCTACTGTTTTCTCAAACTTCTTCAGCTTAAAATATTCATTATGCCAAGGTCATATTTGGAGGTAGCACATCCTGAACCCCATCCAACACACTGCTAAGAAATAGTTATGACTTGCATTTCTGCAGGAGCATCACCAGGCCCAATAGCCCAGGAGGGGAGTGTTCTGACCACCTAACTTTCCTGAGGCAGGAATGGTGAGCCTGTGGTGACAACCCATCACACCTTGCTTATACCACTTGAGACAGTTTTCATTATGATAACTAATCACAACTTTCTAGCTCAATCAAGACACTGAAGGACATATTCCTCCCTCTTTTCTAATAAAAAATAAATAGCTAAGCAAGCATAACTCTTGGATGCAGAAGAACACCTCACAGGAATTTGACAAATATCACATGTTTTCTTCCCTATTGTATTATCATAATTTATCTTTTTGGACAGGGTCACATTGGTTTCCCCAAGTTTGTTATTTCTACTACTCAGCAAAACAAAGGAAAAAGCCATAATGTGGTGAAGGAAGAGTGTTTCCCGTAACATCAAACAAGGCCATAACAGTGTGAATAAAGAAGAGGGTAAAATTCTAGAAGAGTTTCAGAGGTAGAGCCAATAGTTTGATGTGTGATTAAATAGGAGAAATAAATTGAGACAGGCGGGGAGAATGATGCCCAGCCTTCTGGGTTTTGTAGCTGAGAACACGGTGAGGCCATCACTGAAATGGAAAATTGGGGAGAAGCAGATTTGGCTTTTATGTAAAAGAGACTGTAAAGGTGGGATCTGAATTTCATACTTCACTGTTTTGCACATTTTCCTTCCATTCAACAGCTTTTCTGCATTCTAAATAATTTTACTTAGCAAACTGCAATAAATTTCAGTTCATTTTTTCTTTTAAAAAACCGGATACCTCTGCCACCTCATCAGAGCTTCTGATCAGCCTGAGATGATCAGTGTCCTCATAATGAGTCCTTTTAAATTCCAACCCAAAGAAAATAAACATGGAATTTTAATCACCCTATTCAGCCTTGTTGAGGGGAAATGCACAGTTTCCTGTTAGGTGTTTTGACATACTGAAAATAGCTTCAAGGTTCCCCCTTCCCTTCCCCTCCCCTACCACGTGCCTGATCATGACTGGTACCCTATAAACAATTGCTGAAAAATAAATATCTTCTTTAATATCTCATTTGGCTCTAATGTATAATTCTAAGGTCTACTGGAAACTCCTTTAGTTCATAATCACCTACCAGTAGCTGGCATATGTAGATTTTGATTAAGTATGTCAGGTTTACTTTGGTCTATTTACATAGCTAATGTTGTCCAGTTAGTCACAATTTTATCTATAACAACGCTAACAACAGAGGACCACTTCACAACTCCATTTAAAAATATCTCTTGGCTTCCCCCGTGGAATAAGATCCAGACTTTAAGTCCCTTGATGATATGACTCCTGCCTATCCTTCCAGCTAATCTCATTTGTATTCTGTTTCCAAACAGAATTTGTTACCAGACCAAACTTGGATCCACCTGCCAATCTACTGACACTCGGTTGTGATGAAGGAAAGCGCAGCATTTATTGTAGGGCGCTGTACAAGGAGTCCAGGGCAGCTAGTGCTCAAAAAGTCCAAACTCCCCATGGGTTTCAGCAAAGCATTTTTAAAGGCCAGGTGAGGGAGGGACATCCCAGTGTATGTGATCAGCTCGTGCACAATTCTCTGATTGACTGGTAGTGAGGTGACAGGGCGGTGTCACAGGGGTTAACGTTATAATCCTTAGGCGCTGGTAGGCCTGGGGGCCACATGCTCATTATCATCAAGTAGTTAATTTCTTCCATTTGGTGGGTGTTTTCATATCTGTAAAACAGCTCAGGAAATGTGCATCAGATACTATTATCTAGGTACTTCAGAGAGGAGCCAAAGCAGAGGATATGGGGAAGGGGTCTGTCCTGGGGAGGCCCCATGGGGTCCTGCTCGGTTACAAATGTACACCTCTGCCTGAAGTGCCAGTTTCTCTCCTTTTCACCTATTCACATTCTCAGTCCACTCATATTGAAAGCCAAAACTCAGATGTCACCTCTATCAGGTTTTATTTGGAATCCTCCAGCATCCTACATAGAGCCTGTCCAAAGATAAGTGCAAAAAAATGTCTGCTAAATAAGTGAGTTTTTTTAAAGTTTCATTCCAAGTATCTTAGGTTGAATTATTAAACCAAAGTTCCTTTACTAGATTGCAATTGATCTAGGCATTAAAAAAAAAACCGCTAGCATCCTTGAAAAAAAATCTCTGATAATAATCCTTTGGACATCAAGCACAGAAAGTATTTTTTATGCCATTTTTCTTTGATCCAAACTATTTTTCACCCTACATAACCAGATATATTTTATAACGATCTGATGAAACACTTGTTTTAAATAATGAGATTTGTTACAATTAACTACTTGAATGATAAAGCCCCAACTAGGGGATGAATAACATGCTCAACTCATTAAGTGTTCTACTAGCTGAGAATACAGCAGTAAACAGTATAGGTAAGGGCTCTTCTCACTGAATTTACATACTTTCATTTTAATTGGGGGTGGGGAGATGGACAATAAACAAATGAGTATGTCATGTATCAAAGTGCTTAAACAGATGACCGAGTGGCCACTTTAGAACGGAGGGTCTGGGAAGGCTTCTCTGTGCAGGCAATTCTCAAACTGAAATCTGAAGATTTTTTAAAAGGCAACAATGCAAAATTTAGGGGAAAGTGCATTCCAACCAGAGGGCCCTGCAGCACAGCAGGGAGGCAGGAAGTGGTAGATGAGGTAGGTGAAGGGGCACGTGTAGATCATGCAGTTCTTTGCAAGCAAGCATAGGGAGTGTGGATTTAAATCTCCAAGCAAAGGAGAAGCCATTGGTAGATTGTAAGAAGGGGAGCAATATAATCTAGGTTATACTTTTTGTCATTTTTTGTTTGTTTGTTTTTTTAAATGATCCCTTTAGAAGTATGGAGAATGGATTGCAGAGGGGGTGAGGCCCACTGGAAGGCAGCAGTGCGATCCACAGATGATTTCGGCTCAGAGTAAAATGGTGTTTGTGAAAATGGAGAGGTGAATGCAGTTTTGTAAATTGAGTCAAAAGAACTTGCTGATCCATTGGATGGAGAAGTAGAGGAAGGAGCTGTACATTCACTTCAGAATATAGACTATTTATGTTCCTTAGGATTCTTTGTAACCTCTTGCATGTTCCTCAGTAAGGAGTTAAACTCTTTTGACACGTTTTCATTTTATATTTGTATATTTGCATGCAAATATATTTGTGGGCTTTCACCGTTTAAAAATAACTAATCTTTAACAGATGAAATGAGTTGAAGAGTGGGAAATGAGAAGAGGAAACACTTGTATATAACTCCTTAAAGAAGTTTGGATTAAAGGTCTTGTTCTCTCCAGAGAGGCAGCACCTACGTTGCTCTGAGGAACTACCCAATCACTACCGCGTGCCGACTCAGTGCAATCGTCAGACAAGATGCCCCTTGGTCCAGATATGTCCCTTCCAGGAGGCCAAAGCCATCGATTACTACAAACTGCTGTCACACTTACTCCAGATGAACACCACCGCCTGCTCCTCTTGCAAACTGCCTTTGGAGACCTTCGGTGGTAAGAACCCCCGCGGGGAGCCAAAAGCGCCAGCGGAGGCGGAGAATACTGTGACGTCAGTGCGTCGCGCGGGCCAGGGGCGGGGTCTAGCTTTTCCTCGGCTCCCGGGCGGCTCCAGGTGGGGGGCGGAAAGGTGCCGTGACGCCATCTCACTGCGCGAGCCAAGGGCCGGGCTTAGTCCCCGCCCCACGTTTGGTTCGTGGTACGCTCCAGGTCTGAGGCGGGCGGCCGGGCGCTGTGTTCGTTATGTGCGCGCGGTGTTTTTGGTTGCTTTGGCCTTCTTGCTGCTCTCCGGTCCTTCCGCCAGCCTCGAGCCCTCACCACTCTCGGTGTAAGTAGTATTTTAAAATTGAAGGACCAAAGGCACGGAGAGGTGAAGTAACTTGCACAGGATAACACAGCAGATTTGGATTCTAGATAGTCTAATAATTCTCTTCACTATAAAAGGAACATAATCGTAGCTTACTCGTGGAATGTTTTGAGAAGATGCGTGTAAAGCTCCTTACATGCTCTTTACCTATGGTGGGTCTATCCATCCACTCCAGAGCAGGGGCCGATTTTGCTTTCTAGCTGGCGCCGCACCGCCTCGATACAAAGGACAGAGTATCCTGAGCGAAGGGCCTGAAGTCAAGATTGCCGATCTTACCCAGCAAAGGGTGAGGTCAACATGTAGGCGTCTCAGCTGCACTCTACCAATTACACACGTAGGCACAAATACAAATGTGCACTTTCTCATCTCTCTCGTTTTTAATTGACATTACCCTTCCTACACTAATCCAGACTGGAAGTCTCTAGTCATACTTGCTCTTTCACACGCTGCACATCTGATTACTCACTGACTCCCGTCTCCTGTTCCTTCCCTGCTCTCTATTTCTACTAGGTAAGACTTCATCAGATAATCTCTTACTCTCTCGAACTGATTCATCTGTTCAATTAGTAAATATTAATCATGAATAAAAATCATCACCAAACACTGCCTATTTTACCCCTCCTCAGCTCATAGTGGGATTATGCTTCCTGGTCCTGGTCCATGAGGTGTGCGTGGATGTGACCCCTGTCACTCTCAGACACAGCATTTAATTGCTGTTTCGAGGTGCTCCAGAACTCTTTTCCCTCTTGCCCAGAAGCAGGCACCGTTTGAAATGGTGGTAGCTTCATCAGCCTGCATCCCTGAATGGTTAAGATGAGCGGAGACCCACGTTGACCCATGAGGAACATGTAGCATGGGAAAGAGATAAACTTCTTTTGTTTTAAGGCACTGAAACTTTTGGTGCTATTGGTCACCACAGCATAACTTAGCCTGTCTTGATTGATACCAGTGCCTATGGGAGTGAGAAAAAACAAATTTGGTCTCTGTTCTAGTGGAGCTTATACCAGAGGTATCTCTATAAAATATAAATCTGACCCTCTTCCCTGCTTTAAAACTTTTATTTAAAAATATCTTCCCATTGCTTGAAGGATAAAGTCCAAACTCTTAGCCTGGCATGCTAGGCCCTTTACCACTAGGCCCCAAATTGCACTTCCATTACACTTTTCCATCTATTTTATGGTCCAGCCAAACTATACTACTGGCTGTTTACTGCCTTGATCCATATGCTTTCAAACCCCTGCCTGAACCTTCACCCATGCCATACCTTCAAACTGGGTTGCTCTCCACCCATGTTTGCATATCCTGGTTTACTCCCCTGTGCTCACTAGATACCTCATGCCACCCCCTACTAACCCTTTTAGAACCCTCATAACAACCTTAATTACATGTTTCAGTGATTGTCTTCCTTCAGAGCTGTAAACCCCTTAAGAAGTCCATCTTATTCAGCGTTGGGTCAGGCATATATAAGGACTTACACATTTGTTAAATGAATGAATGGCTTGTTGGATCCCTCAAGGTTCACTAGAAATGCTGTCAATTCCATGTATTAGTTTCCTATTTCTGCTGTAACAAATTACCACATAATTAATGGCTGAAAAAACATAAATTTATTACCTTACAGTTCTGTAGGCAGGTCTGTATTCCTTTGCAGAGGCTCTGAAGGAGAATCTGTTTCCTTGCTTTTTCTAGGCACTAGAGGCTGCCCACATTCCTTGCGTTGTAGTCCCCTTATTTTATCTTCAAAGCCAGCAATGTTGCGTCTATGAGCATTCTTCCATAGTCACATCCTCTAACTGTGAACTCAGCGGGGAAAGTTCCTCTGATTGTAAGGATCCTTGTAATTAGACTAGGCTCACCTGGATAATCTTGGATGATCTCCCCATCTCAGCATACTTAATTTAATTATGTTTTCCTTCTTGACATGTAAAGTAACACATTCACAGTTCCCGGGACTAGCACAAGGGTATCTGTGGGGGGGCCATTATTCTGCCTATCACATTGCAGAGTCTTTCCTTGCTTCTCTCTCTCACTTGACATTTACCCTTCAACATCAGCCAAATGAACTCTTCCCTAAGGAGCATCAGGAGTCTCCTTGAAGTAGGGTAACCAAATATGGGCCAAACTTAGACACTTTTAAGAGTGAAAAGAAGTACCATAAACAGGTCAGCAGGTGTACACTGGTCTGACCAGATATGGCAGAATGAAATGGATGTGTGACCTGCAGAGGCCCTACCCCGAGTTGCAGCAACTTAATTATAGACTTCTACCCTCCAACCTGGTCTCTTAAAAATCAAGTAGATGTTGGGAGGTTTTACTTTCCTCAGAAGATTTATGCTTTAGACTGGAGATGGGACACTATCTGGCTCAGCAGGCTAAACAGAATCTTTTTTCTTTACAGTTTTAACAATACATAAATAATATATAGACAACATAATATTTATATTAGGGACATGAGACTTTATGATGTATATTGCATATATGTACATCAAATGTATATGCAAGTATATATCAAACTCACAATTTGACATTTGTCTTTTGATTTTGTTACTGATGAAACCTCTTTTAATGGGTAGTTCCAATACACCTTGTAGCCACATGACAAAAGATGAAAAAATTCAAGGTCAGGAAGCTGAGGATTGTACTTGTAAATGGTGATTTTCAGCTTTGGGGAGAAAGGAAAAAAACATGCTAAAGTAGGGATCCCATAGCTTTTCCTAAACCTTTATCTGATCAACGTTTTCCATTTCAAAGTCTCTTAATCCTAGATCACAGATAAAGCCAGAAGATATTTCAGGAAATCATCTTGTGATCTTATTATACAAATAAGTTGAGTGTTGTACTCAAGGTTAGTTATTACTTTGCAGTTGTGTGGCTTTCCGATTCTATCATGTCCTTGACATTTTTCTCTGTAAGAGAGCCTCCCCCCAACCCCACACCTTTTCTTTCCTTTTCAACTTCTTTTATTTTTATTATATACCACTATGGACTTAGAGTTTTAATTTTATTTATTCAATGTGTTGTCATCTGTATTCTTTTTTGATGTCCAGATTGTCTCAGGTTTGGCCAGTGGGAGTCCCTTTAAGCCACCACTTTTGACCTATCTCCATCAGCCTTTGAGTTCTTTCTTACTTCCTGGCATAAGATATTTCAGGCTCACTTGTACTTTACATGCCCCAGATCTGAACTGCCATTTCTCCGAGAAGCTCTGGTTCCTTTCAGTGAGGTATCATATTTAGAAACCAAGATCTGGGCTCTAGGTGCACTAGTTGCTACTGGGGTGTCATTGCCTCTTAACCCTGTTAGTTTCCCTTTGGCATGTCCACTTTTGCATTCTTTTGTTCAGCTGAGTAATATTTCACTCTGGGAATATACCTTTTTCTTTTTTAACCAGTCTCCAATGGAAGAACGTTCAGGTTATTTCCAGTATTTTGCTATTACAAATAATGCCACAATCAATAACCTTCTACATATGTTGTTTTAGATCTGTGATTGTCTTCAGGGAAAGATTTCTACAAGTGAGATTGCTAGAGTAAACGGTAAGTGCACCCAACTGGATGGGATTAACTGTTTTGATCAATTGTCTGCCATATTTAAAAGGAAATGTCTAATTTGAAAGATTTAACATAAGGAGAAGTTTAATAAAAAGTTTCAAAAGTGCAAATGTAGCTTTGTTGGATAATGCAGGATTCTCTACAGAAGTCATATTTCTTTTTCCAATAGCACTGGAAGAGATTATTCATTTTCCCACAGTTTCAACCAACAGAATTACAGAATATGATATCAAACTTTTAGATTTTTACAAACATGATAGGTGAGAAGTGGTATCTAAATGTACTGTTAATTTGCATTTCTCTAATAGTGAAGCTGGAGATTTTTTTTCATTTGTTTAAGGATGATTTGAATATTATTTATTGTTAACAGTGTGTGTGTCTTTTGTACATTTTTCTACAGAGTTTTGGTTCTTTTTCTCTTGATAAGTATTCTTTTAGGAACATAAGATATTTATGTATGATATATATTGCAAATGTTAACACCCTGTTTGATAATTGTATTTTGACTTTGTTTATGATGTTTGCCACAACATTCATTTTTATGTAGTCAAATTTATCAATATTCTCTTTTATTATGTCTGGATTTTGAGTCATAGTTAGCAAAAACTAGTACAAATTTTGGCATTAATTTTTTCCTGTCATAAGTGATTTGAAATTTACAAATTTAACTACTCAAACTACTCATGTTGATTCTTCAACACATAAGGCTGTAGTCATCAGTCATCTAATAGCTAAAACTTTTTACATCTCTTTTATTCCTTATTTTTATTTTTATTTTTTTTTTATTTTTTATTTTTTGCTGTACGCGGGCCTCTCACTGTTGTGGCCTCCCCCGTTGTGGAGCACAGGCTCCGGACGCGCAGGCTCAGCGGCCGTGGCTCACGGGCCCAGCCTCTCCACGGCATGTGGGATCTTCCCGGACCGGGGCACGAACCCGTGTCCCCTGTATTGGCAGGCGGACTCTCAACCACTGCGCCACCAGGGAAGCCCTATTCCTTATTTTTAAAGAATCCATTTAGAATAACCTGATTTTGACCTTTTAGAAAGCAATTTGACAGTATGTATTGAGGCATAAGACTTTGCAACCTTGAAATACTATCCTAGGGGAAAAAATTCCTAAACCCAGAACCTAATACAGTGCCTGGTATTTATTAAGTATTCAGGCAATAGTTGCAGAATAGGGGAATAAATATGAGGGAGGGGAAATACACGCATGAAGATGTTTGTTGCTGAATTATTTACATGAAAAATTGGCTGCAACCTAAAAAACCAATAGTGGAGAAATGATTAAATAAGCTATGGTTTACCTACTTCATTGAAAATGATGTAACACTGAAATGGTGTTTCTGAAAGATATATAATAATATGGTAAAGCTATATAATATATGGATGTGATGATAGATGAAAAAACAAATTACCAAATTATCAAAAAAGATCTATTGAATATATACACACATTGAAGAAAAATAAAGACTGGAAGAAAATGTAGCAAAATGCTAACAGAGAGTTGTATTTTCCTATTTTCCAAACTTTCTTTTTCTGATGAAAAACTAAAAATGTTTAAATATTCATTGTCTGCTCTCTAGCTGTTCTTAGACTCTGAGTGCAGCAATGGAGAGATCATTTGAAAATGTGAAGTAGGGCTTAGAAGAGAATTACACAGAGGTACACTACAGAATTCTCTCCAAACAACTGGCAGTAGGAACTTGATTATATACAAAAGACCACTGTAAATGCTTTCACAATTTTAGGTGGCTGTGTGGCTTTGAGTCTCAGATCTCTTAAGTGAGGATAATAATGGTATCCCGTATAGTTAATGTAAGGATGAAATGAGATAATACATATAAATGCTTAGAACAGAACCTGGCCGACAGTGAGTGTGAACTAATGTTAGCTGTTTTGGTTTTTGGTTTCTGGGTTTTTTTCTTAAATTATAAAAACTTGGTTACAATGCCCCCATGTGTCTGTACATTGCAATATTTCTGGTCATTAAAAGGATTTCTTATTACTTTAGATCAATGCATTTGAAATGACAGTTCTAGGGTCATGCATTATCCACTCATGTTTTATATAGACTCTGAAGATTAAACAGCTCTTTTGAAAATAATGTTTTATCCCCTGAATATAAAAGTAACACACGCTCACTATATAAAATTTGGAAAGTACTAAGAACTATAAGGAATTATAGCCATCTATAATGTAACCACCCAAACATTTTGGTGTGTTTTTATATTTTCTATGTAAATATATATACATATATATTTATGTGTGTGTGTGTGTGTATATATATATATTTTTGCTTTATTTTTACAAATTCAGGGTAGTGTATGTTTTTACACAGGAATAAATTTTAGCATAAATGTAAAATGTATATTTTACTTTAAAACAAGAACAGAAATGTAACTATGTAGATAATGGAGGTTGTCCCATGGTAAACAGAGGATTGCATCTTGTTGTCACCAGTCTCTCATGTTTCCCATTAATAGTAGGTACATTGAACTAGAGTGGAAAGATGCCTTAAAAAATGCTTTAAAGTGAAAGAAAATCCAACCTGATTTAGAAGTACAATGCCACTTATGTATGACTTGAGGAGGGAATTATGAGAATCAGTTTGTTGTACTAAGGAGGCTTTCCTCTTCCTCTTTTCAAAAATGTATCATTTATTTATTATTTTTTTAGCTGCACTGCACGGCATATGGGATCTTAGTTCCCTGACCAGGGATCAAACCTGCATTCTCTGCATTGGAAGTGTGGAGTCTTAACCGCTGGACTACCAGGGAAGTCCCTCCTCTTCTTTAATATAATAATTAGTTGGTAGCAAATCTCTATTTTAAAATTATTTCTTATCTGTATATAAAATGTGGCATTTTGTATAAGAAATAGGAAAAAATAAGAATGTAATTATATGTATTTGATTAGTTTTGCAATGAGAAAACAAAAGAAGGGTAAATCAGAAACTAATGAAAATAGTTACAGGTTAGGGACAGGTGGGAAAGGCTAGGATGTGAGCCAGACTTCTCTGAATATACCTTTTCAAACAGTCTTCACTTCTGAGGCATGTAAATATTCTATGAATTTAAAAATTAAAATTAACTCAAAAGATAAAAAAGAGTCAAACCTTAAAATTGAATACAAATAGCAAAAATCAACCAAAATCAATATCATATTTATAACACAGGCACAGAAAAAATTAATTAAAGTAACTTTTGAACACAGCGCTGAATAAAAACAGAAAGAACTAAAAAGAAGTCTTGAACTTTCCTGAGTGGGTTTATCAGAGATGGCAGTTTGGTATAGTGATTCTGGAAATATTTTGTTGTGTTGTAGCATAAGGCAAATGAGTAACTGTACTGATGCTTTTTAGAACCAGAGTTCTTTGTAGGAGAAGAGGGATACAAATAAAAATGGGGAAGATAAGGAAAAATCCTATGGTGTTGATTCAATCTGGAAGGATCAATATTATTTTAAAATATATAGGTATTTCCCTGCTTTTAAAGATATATATAGTATGTTATGTGTGTGTGTGTGTATATATATATATATATTTCCTTGCTTTTTCTATTGAATGGGCCTATAAGCAGTGACACCCCAGTAACAGTGAGCACAGCTAGCACCATTATTCAGTTTCTAAATACCATTCGCCAGTGAAAGGCACCAGGACTCCTGGGAGAAATGGTTAATTCCAGGTCTGAGGCAGCTGTGTAGGGAAAGTACAGGATGACTCAATGTCCTCCCAAACAAGGAATTACTCAAAGACAAATGGGGACATGTCAACAGAATACAGAAGCTGGCTTAAAAGAGCTTCTCCTGGGCAAATTTGGGACAGTTTGAGCATTAAAAAGAATTGGGACAGAAATGGATCATAACAGGGTCAGTAACAACACAAATTCCAGGAACTTAACTTCATACACCTCCACCCCACCCACCCCAGATATTCTGACAAATAGGTCTGGGGTTGGGTTTGAGAATTTTACATTTCTTTTTTTTTTTTTTTTTACATCTTTATTGGAGTATAATTGCTTTACAATGGTGTGTTAGTTTCTGCTTTATAACAAAGTGAATCAGTTATACATATACATATGTTCCCATATCTCTTCCCTCTTGAGTCTCCCTCCCTTCCACCCTCCCTATCCCACCCCTCCAGGTGGTCACAAAGCACTGAGCTGATCTCCCTGTGCTATGCGGCCGCTTCCTACTAGCTATCTATTTTACGTTTGGTAAAATAGTGTATATATGTCCATGCCTCTCTCTTGCTTTGTCACAGCTCACCCTTCCCCCTCCCCATATCCTCAAGTCCATTCTCTAGTAGGTCTGTGTCTTTATTCCTGTCTTACCCCTAGGTTCTTCATGAGATTTTTTTTTTCTTAGATTCCATATGTATGTGTTAGCATACGGTATTTGTTTTTCTCTTTCTGTCATACAGAGTGAAGTAAGTCAGAAAGAG